CAATTTATTAAGTGTTATGTTGAGGAACAACTTATTAATACTAAGTATGTTCAAACAGACAATCAAAGGGCAGATATCCTAACTAAATCATTACATGTTCCAAAGATCAAACACCTTACAGACTTAATAGGTCTTGTAAATGTTGAAGGGGACTGTTAACATGTATTATGATCAATGATACAATTACAGACACTACAGTAATGATAAGATGATTAATACACATACAATTGGAATGGACACAGAACAAAGAGACATGTATCAGATACACAATACAAGACATGTATTGGATACACAATAAGTATCAGATACAAGATAATGATACATCAGATGTCTAAGACATACAGACGAATGAATAACATAAAAGCAAGCAACTTAGTAACTAAATATATATCATTATCAGGGTCTACACCCTCATTACTTGTGTGATAACCTAAGAATATGCATTCTAACAAGATAATTATAAAATAATTTTATAAATATATTCTACTATTAGAAACATGAATTTAGCAACTTATTTGAAGCAATTCTATCAAGATTTGAGTGAGTTGTAGTACTTTTTCTGTATTTTGTGACTTTGTAATAAAAAATCACATGAACTACACCACAGCCAATATTTTTGCAAACAGCTGTAAAACCTATCTTACTCCTATTCATTTCTTTTAAGTTAAAGGCCACTCTTCTAATCAACTTAAGTAACTAAAGCTAGTCTAAACTTGACAAAAAGCATTTGAGCTACACTCTCCAAAATAATTTATATTAGGAAGGTAAATAACTATGACAGTTAAGATGTAAGCAGAACACATCCCCTTGTACTGTATTTATCCAGCCGTTAGAAGGCAATCGCCAAGTGCACTGTTGTTCAGGCATAGGGCATACATAGAGGTACTTAACTGAAATCTTCTGCTGAGATATAGTGTCTCTATTCTGCAGTACCCCATCCGGTTTGAGAAGCATTTCTGCCCGTGTCTGAACCTTCTGTACAATAGATTTGACATGTGCATATCCTGCTGACGAGCCGCTGTGTGTTGCAGACAAAGACATCTGAGCAATCCATATTGTGCTAGTAACAGAAGAGTCTTTTACATCCAAGTCCACAAAGAATGCATCAAAGAGCGGATGGTTCCGAGGTGCTGGGACCCAGAGACAATCTTCGATATTGTCTACCTTATCCAACACTAGTTTTCCGTCCGGGAAGGTGACGGAGGCCTGCTTTCTCATGCGATTCAGTAGCCGTGTTCCTGAGTCTTCATGTAATCGAGCTTCATACACACGATGTGTATCTGTACAGGATTTAAAAAGCATAGGGATCAAGCGTTGTTGAATATTGCCAGATCCTAGTAGATGGCAGGCGTAAGATTCAAAGATCCAACCTCCTAGTGTAGAGGACTCGGGAAACAACCCAAACAGGTGGGAAAACTTCCTAGCTTGATTAACATGCAAGCGCCGTACTCTCTCCATAACTATCTTGCCTATTTGGTCGGACTTGAACTTCGGGACAAACGTATCATGTCCGTAGGACAATTGAGTTTCTCCTCCGACTGGTTCGACCGAGAAGAGCTTATGGGAAAAAGACTCCGGATCCGGCACCTGTTCTGTTCCTATACATGCTAGTGCATCTATGAGCGCGTCAAGAGTCACTGTATCCAAGGTGAGCGCTGCTCGATACTTCTTTTCGGCTTGCGCAAACCCGTCGAAGACAGCACTCTTAATATCACGAGCAGCTTCACCATATCGATGGACTGCATCCTTTACCAGCAATTTGAACACTGTCTCCGCGTTGTTCCTATTGCCTTTGTCGTCCTTCGCAAACCTCATGGAACTACTGATAGCATCCTCCTTGACAACAGCATTCATTCCTTTAATAACTGTCGCACCTTCTTTGGTAGGCTCTGGAACCCTCGAGCCAGCGTATGACAGGTTCATTTGTGCCGTATTGTCGCTGTCAACAAGCATCGCATTATTGTCGTCAGAATTGTCTGATTCAGTGCAGCCAGGTTTGCTTTCCTCTCGCGCAACAGCACCGAGCATGGTGCAAGTTTGCACGCCAGCCTCCGATTCGATATTGAGTGCCTCACGTAGTGCGTTCATAAATGGAATGAATATTCTATGTATCTCCAAACTGTAGTAAAATTAGTATCGTATTAGTTGAACTGTCAAAGTACAAACACACACCCTCGCATCATTTCTTCGAGTGTCCACAGTGGCATACCCCAAATATACCCATCACGCTCTTCAGCCAAGTTTTATATCGCTTTATGTTTGGCGACGAGGCCTGGATGGGAAAGATGTGGCAATCTTTCTCTGTGAGAAATGCTGGTGGCTCTGCTGCCCTTTCATCGAGATCTATCAGGCTCCAACTAAATACCTCCTTTCTGACCAATGTTGGATTCAGGCCTGCCCGATAAACTCGACCCTCGAAAAAGAAACGTGTAACTCCGTGGTAATGGAAAAGC